TTTACTTGTTCTTCTTCCATCTTCCAACTTAGCAGAAACTTATAGAGTTTCTTGATCAGGTTTTCATCCGTTTTCAAAAGTGTTTTATCAAGTAATGTCTGTTCTTTATAAAATCCCATTGATTTTGCATCTTTTTCATATCTTGTTTGGATTTGCAAATAAGACCAACATGTTAAGACAATACCTTGTTGTTGAAGAACTTGCCTGTCTTTAAGTTTTCCGTCCTTCTCCAAAATGTCTTTGTAAGTAACAAGTTTATCATAGTTAATTAAATTTGGGTAAGCAAACGCTTCCATTGTTGAAAGCCACTCAGGTATTTTCGTATAAATTTTGTGTTTAATTCTCTCCCACTCTGGAAGTAGTACATTCCTTATGGCGTGGTTTTGAAAATATTTATGTACTTTATTTTTCCCATACCACAAGAACGCATGCCAACCCAGTTGCAGATCATGTCCCTCTAAGTCATGGGTCGGCAACCCGTGGCTCCGGAGCCGCATGTGGCTCTTTCAGCCATCTCCTGCGGCTCCCTGTCCGCCGCCATGTGCAGTCCGAAAAAAAAAATGGGACTAAAAAAGTTCAACCAATCAATTCAAACTTCTCATGAAAAAAAAAACTCGCGAAGTTTGAATTGATTGGTTGAACTTCTTTGGTTTGTGGGGCTGCCCACAAGCCTCTTTCCTTCTTCGGACTGCACTTGGCAGCGGAAGAAGAGCCAGGAGGATTGCTGGAAAGGTGTCCCTTCACAGTCCTCCGGAGGCAGAACCTGGGTAAGGAGCCGCGGGTGGGGGCAGCCAGTCTTGGGGTGCCTCTTCCCTGCCCGGCGGGTCTCCCCTTGCCCTGCTTGGCCACCATCTCTGCTAGCCCGGGGGAGATCGGCAGGGGTCTTGGAAGCTTCCCCTCTCGGCCCATGCCTTTCGGCTGTCTCACGGGCAGCGGATCTCTGTGGCCTCTTTCGAGAGATTCCCCCGCCGCACCTGCCAGCCCTTTTCCCACCTGCTGTGTGGCACCTCTTGGCAGTCCTCCCGCTGCCACCGCCACCGCTACCAGTCGCGTTGAGTGAGGCCAGAGAGACGGCGGTGACCAAGCAGCCACGCCCCTTCGCCGTCCTCCCGCTGCCACTGCCACCACCGCTGCCAGTCGCAAGAACTTGTTGACGCCCGGCTGGAGCATCACGCTGAACTGCCGCTGCATGAAGCTCGCCTGGCTGCTGCGGGGCTCTCTGCCGCTCAGCCCCATTGGTGGCGCCTTCCTCGGCTGCTTTCGGGGAGCCACCGCCACTGCCCTCGGTGCTGCAGGAGAAGGAGACCTTGGGCTGCAAGGGTGACGGGGCTGGTGGCGGGTCAGGACCCTCCTCGTCCCCGCAGTGGCACTCCCTGTTGGAGCCCCCTTTGCCGGCACGGCCGCCCATGGTGCACCTGCGCTGCAGGGATAGCAGCGTCCCCTTGGCGCCCTCCTCTTGCGATGGCGAAGTGACCGAGGACGCGGGGGGCGGCGGCCAGGCGGGGTGGCAGCCAGGCTGGGCGCAGCGGGGACCCCCAACAGTGCTGCAATGGCCGCCACCGGGCCGCCGCCACCACCGGAGTCGCTGCCTCCCATCCTGCCCCCTCCCCCTCCCCGCCCTTTCAGCGCCATCTGCCTTTCATTCTCTCTCTCTCTGCTCACCTGGAGAGAGAGAGAGAGAGAGAGAGAGGAAAGAGAGAGGGAGAAAGGAAAGAGAGAAAGAGGGAGAGAGGAAAGAGAGAAAGAGAAAGAGGGAGAGGAAAGAGAAAAAAGAGGGGGAGGAAAGAGAGATAGAGGGAGAGGAAAGAAAGAAAGAGAAGGGGAGAGGAAAGAGAAAAAGAGGAAAGAGAGAAAGGGAGGAGAGAGGAAAGAGAGAGAGAGAGAGAGACCTTTTTGACATCTAAAATGAAGATAACACTGCATATATCCTTTTTTACACATATATATATAATTATATATATATAATAAAGGTAAAAAAGGATATATGCAGTGTTATCTTCATTTTAGATATCAAAAGGGTTTTGCAGCTCACAGTGTTTTGTTTTCAGTGGGAAACGGGTCCAAGTGGCTCTTTGAGTGTTTTGGGTTGCCTACCCCTGCTCTAAAGTAAAGGAGTCGTTTATTTCTCAATGTAATCCATTCTTTAAGCCAAAGCAGGATGGCTGCTTGGTAATAAAGTCTCTAATCCGGAAGTCCAAAACCCCCTCTGTCTTTGGTTTCTTGTAACAATTTGGTATTGATTCGTGTTTTCTTCCCTTGCCATATAAATCTCAATATTGTTGCATTTAAATCATCAAAAAAATTCTTGCCCAGTTTAACAGGAGCTGTTTGAAATAAGAGTACGTTCGGTAGGATGTTCATCTTCACAGTCGCTATTCTTCCTAACAATGACAGTTGGAGGTTTTTCCACTTTTTCAAATCTACTTTTATTTGTTTCAGTAGTCTTTCATAATTATCTTCTTTTAATGTTAAGTGGATACCTAAGTATTTGACTTTTTTTGCTATTTGAAGATTTGTCTTTTTTGTAAATTGGGTATTCTGTTTGTCTGTTAAGTTTTTTGTTAATACCTTAGTCTTTTCCCTATTTATTTTCAGGCCGGCCACTTCTCCAATTTGTTCTATTTTCTGCAAAAGTTGGGGGCTGTTTCCAATGGCTCCTCCAAAATGAAAATCAGATCGTCTGCAAACGCCTGTAATTTATATTTCTGTTCTTTTATTTCCAGTCCTTTGATTTCCATATCTTGCCTAATGTTTCTAGCCAGCACTTCCAATGTAAGAATAAATAACAAGGGAGATAGTGGACATCCCTGTCTTGTGCCTTTTTTAATATTAAAGCCGTCTGTATAGTCTCCATTTAACAGTATCCTTGCTGTTTGTTTATTGTAAATTGCTTGAATTGCGTTTGTAAATTTTTTGCCAAAGTCCATTTTCGTCAACTGTTGAAACATAAATTGCCAATTTAAGTTATCAAAGGCTTTTTGTGCATCAAGAAATATAAGTGCCATCTGTTTCCCTGGGTGGTTTTCATAATATTCCAAAACATTTAAAATGATCCTTAGGTTATTCTTTATCTGTCTTTTAGACAAAAAGCCATTTTGGTCTGTATGGATAAATTCAGTCAAAAATTTATTCATTCTTTCTGCCGTTATTAAGGTAAAGATTTTATAATCCACATTTAATAACAATATTGTCTATAGTTTTTGATTTGTGTAAGATCCTTTTCTTCTTTAGGTATCAAGGGGATATTGGCTTCAGTCCACGAATTGGGTATTTTTATCTCTGAGAAAATTTCATTACACAATTCCTTCAATAACAGACTTACTGTATTTTGTAGAGCTACATAAAATTCGGCAGGAATTCCATCAGGTCCCAGAGTCTTATCCTTCTTCTGCCTTTTTATTGCCTCTGTGATCTCCATCATTGTTATCTTCTCGTTTAACATATGTCGCATATTCTCTGGCACCTTTGGAAAATCGGCTCTTTTTAGATAATCCTGTATTGCCTCTTTAGTAACCACCTCCGCCTTATAAAGTGTCTCATAATAGTCCTTAGTGATTTTTTTCATTACATCATTGTGGCAATATACCTTGCCTTTTAAGTTTTGTAGCTTAATTATCATTCTTTTTTCTCTTTCTTTCTTCAATCTATATGCAAGCCATCTTCCCGGTTTGTTGGCATTTTCAAAAAAGTTCTGTTTAGATCGTTTAATCTGTTGTGCCATTGCATCCATCTCAGTTAAGTTTAGTTTATGTTTTATTAGTTCCATTTGTGTCTTCAGCTTCTTCTTTTGTGGATCGATTCGCAACTCGGATTCCAATTTACTAAGTTCTTCTTTCAGCCTGAACTATACTTGTTTCTTTTCTTTGTTCTTTTTAGCACCATATGTGCAATCTGCCATTAAGAGCTATTGATCCTTAATAGTTCATAAGGAAAGTCCCACATATAGGAAGTTGAATATGATATGAAAACTGAAATCATGGCCGCAAATAGAGTTCCACATATAATTATTCTTAGGGAACCTGTGTTAAAGGTTGCATGCTAGGGCTGTGGAGTACAATGGAATGTGAAAAGGGACTACTTTAGAGCAATGCATTTTTCCCTGTGGTTGCCTGGCTGTTCTCTGCAGCTGCACCATGATGCTGAGAAAATGCATTTGACATAAAGCACTGCACAAGTGACATATGTGTGCCCTCGTGTGCTTTTGAATCATCCCTGTTTTATTGAAAAGTTTTAGAGTCTACCCTCCAGGTTGGCTTGATGGAGAGCGTTAAAGAGAGCCCTGGGAGAAAAAACTCATCTAGAATTGGAATATGTAAGAGGATATGCAGATGTAACCCTCTGTATTTCCCTCAGTGGTTGGAAGATGTTTGCCATATGGCTCAGCTCATTTTGTATCTGTATTTCCAATTATTACATTTTTTAAAATTTGCCTCACTGTATGTGTCAACTCAAGGCAGTGAATATAGCTAATACTCCATCCTCCATATCTAATACTCCACATAAGAACTATGTGTGAAGTGATTCAGCCTGACAGACTAATAGGCCTAAAGTCACTCACAGTCTTCTGCTTTCTAGACCAGCACTTTAACCAATCTGTTCCCTAATTATTTCCTTTTTCTTCCCCAAACTCCTGAATTAGCCTTCACATAGAACATGGTCCAATTAGATATAGCATGTATATCAACAACAAGATGTAATAGTATCTTTAGTAGATAAAATAAGTTTGGTTGAAGACAGGTTACTATTTGTTGAGATTAATCAATGGAACATCTTCAACCTAATGCTTTCCACATATGTGAGAGAAAATGAGAAATGAAATCCAGCATACCTGAAAGTTTTCAAAGTGGACAAGTTGGTTTATATATTTATATTAATATATATACCTAGAAAGCTGCATTTTTTGCAAAAGTGATAATAGTATGTCAGCTGAAAGATCATCAAACTTCCAAATCTTTCTCAACTATAAATCCCAGCATTCTGTCCCATTGCTCTTACCCATAATGGCTCCTGGGAATTGGAGCCAGCAGTACAGAATCTGCAGTATCAAATCACTTAATCCTTATAAAAGTCTAGGTAAAAAATGTATAGCTATAATGCTATGCTTTGAAATTGTAACAATAAGGGAAGCAGAAATCAGATTAGAAAAATTGTGTTTTATATTAGTCACAATAATTCACTTTGCACATCTGGCTATGCCATCGTTTGCTGAATAAGCCATAATGAATGGGGTACACATACAACACATTGAAACCTTCACATTCGACAACTACATCTGAATGTAAGAGTATTTGATTCTTTCTAGTATTATCGAAACTGCGAGAAGTGAAAATGTATGTTTCTTAATATTTGCATTTGTTACCAAAAAGCATGATTTTAGACTAAAGTAAGTCCTCGTGTATTTAGAAAGTTTTATTGGTGTGATAGCATTCATGTGGTCTGTATAATCTCACATTCATTATATGTTGCCTTCTGGAATAGGAAGTACTTGGAAATTTCAGAACAGTTGTGTTTGGTTTAAGGAGTTGGAGACAGGTGTCACTTCTGCACCTCTGGATGTTCCAAGCATCTATTTGCCTTTTATTTAAAGAATGGTACACAACTCTGTTATAATTAATATTTAAGAAAAATACAGGGAAATTCACAAACTGTCCCTACTGCAGTTCCCATTAATTTCTTTTTCTACTAATTTCTCTTTATATCTTCCAGGGAAGGAATATAGTAAAGCTGACAGCAGATATATGATGTAAGTGTTAACTTTGAAATGACAGGCAAAGGTCTGGATATTTCTGCAAAGACCCAGCATTAAGCAATTTTGAACACAATTACCTGGTCTGAGTGCGGGGATAGGAAAAGGATGATTTGACATAATGCAAACATAAATATAGCTGAGATGTTCAAAAATTTTGCATGAGTTCTCTTAATATATTTTCTGCTGCCAAGATAATTTTTAATAGGGCGAGTACAACAAAATTAAAAGAATTCCTGCATTTCTTTTTAAGGATCCTAATCTTTTATATTTCTAAATTATTTTAGAAAAAAAAACTCCCATTGAATTCTATTCATGCCTTAAAAGAGCATATGGGGGAATGACATTTGTTTTCCAGTCTCATATTTATGAACTTTTGAGATGAGTATTATCAGTGGGGTTCCCCCAGCTCAGTGGAAGATCTGGTTGATGAGCATGACTATTTTATCTGCAAGGGATGGCTAAATTCTACTTTTCCCCATTTATTTTTAATTCATTTTTTTCTCTTTTCCCCTCAACCATAATAATTGAGCTTGGGAAAATAAAATGGGCAAGGCTTGAATAGAAAGAACCTGCACCAGTTCACTCTCCTCACTTGCATCAAATTCTGCAGTTTGGCCTGAGATGGTTTTATTATCTTTGTGTATTTTCATCTATCTATCTATCTATCTATCTATCTATCTATCTATCTATCTATCTATCTATCTATCTATCTATCTATCTATCTATCTATCTATCTATCATCTATCTATCTATCTATCTATCTATCTATCTATCTATCTATCTATCTATCTATCTATCTATCTATCATCTCATTTCTCCCCCTCCAGTTTGAATGTAGTGAACTGTAAGAAAGTTGGGATGTTTTGGGACCTCAAGGTGACATTCATTTCATTTTTGTATCTGCAGATCAGATAATTTCATAGTTTGCGTGGAAACCATCAATGCCTGTTTTTGGGGTCCCCTCAGTCTTTGGACTGCAGTCGCATTTCTTTCACGCCAGTCCCATCGATACGTGTTGCAGCTAGTGGTGTCAGTAGGTAGGTATGCAAGACGGGGAGGTAGGTATGTCAGGATATATAAATGTTAATGCAATCTTTCAAAAGCAATTAATTTAATATTTTTATTCTTGGTTAATGTTCCATACACCTGACTGCATTTCTTTTTTGGCTTGTCCACTTTTGATCTTTTCTTCCTACTTTAATCAGCCATGTTGTCTATCTCTAACCATAGGTCAACTATATGGTGACGTTCTGTACTTCTACACTGAATACCGTGATGGCTTTCGCCATGGTGAGATGTGGCACCCTACCTACTTCTGGTTTTACTTTGTCTTTATGAATGGTCCGTGGATTATCATTCCCCCTATTCTCATCTGGGATGCCTGGAAGCACCTCAGTGCTTGCCAGAGAGTAATGGATGCCAACAAGGTCAAGAAACATTGATGTTTTGCACAGGAGATCATATTGGATGGTACTTCCAGCCATTCAGAGGTTGATCTTGTGTTCCTCCTGTTCCTCTGCACTTGTTTAGATATTTTCTGGGTTTCTCTCTGTTTGATGGTGGTTATTCTCTTCTTTAAATATTCATAGCTCTTAAGCTATGACCTTAAAATTAAGACTGCAATTTTATCTTCATGAAGGGTTTTTTTTTAAATCAGGAGATTTTATTTCTGAATAAATGTCATTAGGATCAAATGACTCAGCTAATACTAGTCAGTATTAAACTGAGCCTTGCTGTAGACCAGGGGTGTCAAACTCAATTTCATTGAGGGCTGCATCAGCATCGTGGTTGCTATTGGGGGGCCGGGTGGGTGTGGCTGGCATGGGCGTGGCCTACTGGGTGGGCGTGGCCAGCTCCATGTCACTCATGTCAGGGGCACCTGTGCAGGCCTGGGCAGGAATGAGGCACATCCGAGGGTGGGGAAGGGTGGGTGAGACAGGGGGCGAGCGCCAGGGCATGGTCCACTGGAGGAGCCTCACTGAGCCTCAGGCTGTGCACGGGGGCCCTGGACAGTGGCATGGACTGCCCAGAGCCCTGGGCAGCAGAGGTCAAGTGCCCAGCCCGGCCCTTGAGCTCCCACAGCATCAGGACCCCACAGCCCTGCCTAGCCTAGCCGCACTTCCCCGAGGGGGCGCCCAGCCGCACTTACCTCCTCCTCAATGCTGCTGCTGCTGTGCTCACTCTCCTTGGCCAGGTTGCTCATGGTGGGTGCAGGAGGACAAAGTGCGTGGGTCAGAGGGAGGCCCACTCCCTCTCCATGCGAGGAAACCTGGCTTTGTAACCAAAGCATCCTCAGCAATAGAATGGGAGACCACAGGGAATGGCAAAAGGGCAACAGGGCTGCTGGTGGCCAAGTGCTAAAGCAGGACTTCCCTCAGACCCTCCCTCCCTTCCTTCCTTCCTCCCTCCCTCCCTCCCTCCCTCTTCTCCTTTTTCTTTCTTTCTTTTCTTTCTTTTTCTCTTTCTCTTTCTCCCTTTCCTTCCTTCCTTCTCTTTCCTTCTTTCCTCCCTCCCTCCCTCCCCTGCCTCCCTCCTTTTCATTCCCATCTCCTTCCTTCCTTCCCTTACTTTTTTCCTGTTTCCCTGCCCTCCTTCCTTCTCTCCTTCTCTCTGTGCCCAGGAAGGGACGAGGAGAGGGGGAGAGGTTGGCAGCACTTCTCTCAAAGAATAAGAGTTGGAAGAGACCTTTGAGGTCTTTAGCCCAAGCTCCTGCTCAAGCAGGGGACATATACCATTCCAGACAATGGAATATCCAATCTCTACTAAAAACCTCCAGTGATGGAGCATCCACAACTTCTGAAGGCAAGCCTTTTCACTGGTTAGTTGTTTTCACAAGTCCTTAGTTCTAGGCTGGTTTTCTTCTTGATTAGTTTCCATCTATTATTTGCCTTCTGATGCTTTGGAAAATAGGTTGACCCCTTCTTCTCTGTGGCAGCCCATCAAATATTGGAACACTGCTATCATGTCACCACTCCTAGTCCTTTTCACTAAGCTAGACATACCCAATTCCCACAAACATTTGCCATATGTTTTAGCCTCCAGCCCCCTAATCATCTATGTTTACCATCCATTTAGATCAGATGGTCCCCCTGGTTTGGTTTATAGAACAGTGGCCACAAGCAGAGCCTTCTCAGAGACATCACCTCCATTATAGAACTTTCTCCCAAGGAAAATATGAACAGTGCAACCCTCACCCCTTTAATAGGCAACTCCAAACACACTGTTCAGCCAGGCATATGTAAAACAAAAACACATTTTATGGTCAAACAGCACTAAGTAAATTACTACTACTATTTTTCTTTCTTAAAATTCACACTTTTAATATTGTTTTAAGCAGTGCTAGTGATGCTTTACAATAGCTGTCTTTGAGATTTTTCTTGTAAACCACCCTGGATTTCTCAGAAACTTTTAATTTCAAATTAGATGTTGATTTAATAAATTAGGCAGAAGAAACAAATGTATGTGTATGAGAGACAGAGAGAGAGAGATCCCCTTTTTGTAAGTTTGCTTACTCTGCAACTCCCTGCTGGCTCAATCTCTCTCTCTCTCTCTCTCTCTCTCTCTCTCTCTCTCTCACACACACACACACACACACACACACAAACACTCCTGTTTTTTCCTCCTCGTCCTTTTCCTCAGCTGCACCTGAATGGAGTGGGAGGAAGTTATAAAAAAAAAGAGAAGGGGTGGAAGAATGGGGGAAGCTCTCCTTTTTTGTAACACCTCTGCTTCCTCCTCCTCCTCCTCCTCTTCCACTCCTGACCTGGCCTGACAGGGTTAAACTGGGAGGGGAGGGGCGGGCTAAAGCAAATGAGCTGCTGCTGCGCTCGCTGTTTCCTGCACATGCTCCAAGGCACCCAGCTGGGTTGCGGTGGGCCAGGGCTGGGGCAGCGGGGGGGGCATTTCTGGGACAGCCCCGGGGGGGGCAAATCTGGGCCCTCCCTGGCCCGCATCCGGCCTGCGGGCCTTGTGTTTGACATGGCTGCTGTAGACTATATAGCTTTGTTTCTCTTGATACCTACAGCTATGATCACTTAAGCCTGCAAGGAGGGCCCCACATTTAGCATTCATAACATTGAAGTATAGAGACTCTGCGGGAAACATTCAGTCTTATTCTCAGATCAAGTAGAAGGTACCACATAAAGGGATTCAGCTACTTGCCTTGAAGATTATTTTTGTTCCCATGTAGAATTAGTCAGTGAATGGCTTAAACTGGGAAATAGTATCTGAGCTGTCACTCAAGAATTATAAATACTTTGAGGTAGAGCAAAGAGGAAGCTATCAAATGTCCATACCTGAACTATGCAGAATAGTAAATACTTTGATATCACCACTTGTTTTATTGATAGCTTCTTTTCTTTCTTTTCTTTTTTCTTCAGTTATTTTTTCAACTGCTTTGGGATTGTGTATTTGCAGCAAAAAAAAAACCCCACTACTGTAAAGATTTGTATATAAGTAGACCGATCTGTTGCTTTAGGGGCAACTATTTTCTAATGTCCCAATTTATCACTGTATCCCAAGCTCCATTCCCTTGAATGCCCTCTGTACAGCACCAAACTCTCTTATTTGTAAACTGAGGTGTGACATTTTAATAAACAATCACCATGTTTTATGGGTTGGGTGAGGCTTCAGAGAAAACAAAAACATTGTGATGGAAATTTTCTCTCTAAATTGTATAGAATATTTTGTTTCCTCTGAGTTGTTTAAAATGTAATCAGACTATAGGACCTCTGGTTTTTCGCAGTAGCGATCGGTCGCAGGCTTGCAGATTCTCCCCACCCCCGCAGCTAATTTCGCCCTGCCAGTGGACCCTAAATGGGTCTAAGTCGCCCAGGAGAGCCGACGAAAAAAGAAGGATGCTTCAGCAATTCTGGAATGGTGGCGGCCATTCCGTTTCACTTGGGGAAAGCCTTCTAACCCGACAGGAGAAAGGCTGGCCATAATGCATCAACCAGCACAAGCTACTTGCAACCAAAGTCCAAAAGCACTAACCAGCACAACTGCGAACAGCGTGCTTGAAACTGGGTGAGGAATTTGATCTTCTCTTTTCTATTTTACACTTAATTCCCTGGAAAAGATCCCCAAGAAGCAAAATTCCTCCGAAAGGGAAGGAGGAGGATTTCCACCCCACCCTTATACTAACAGGAGCAGCGAATTAATCTTTTTATGGAGGATCAAAATATATGGAAGTGAAATAAATATAAAACTTGAAACTTAAAACTTAAATCTGGATAAATTTAAAATTGTTTTAATGGTTAAGACTCTCGTTTCAGAGATAATTGTTCATTTTGGAAATTGAAAAATGAATAGTTGCTGACATCTAGTGTCAGATGAAGACTATGACAGCTATGACTTTAATATAAGACTTGGCAAAATCTGGGAAAAGCTAATCTATGTCTGCGACCTTCAAAGCTTTAACAACAAAAAACAGCTGTGACAAAAAAAGACAATAATCTGGGCTGTAGACAAAGAGAGAATTATAAATTTCAGGGGAAAACAATCTTTTTTGAACTATTTGGATTACAAGTATCTATCTAATTGGGACTCTAAAGCTATTTACAGAGAAAAGAAAGGAAGAGGAAAACTCAAATTCTTGGCTATCATGGATCAGAGACATGTAGAAAGAACATATCAAGAAAACATAAATACGTCACAAGAGGAGATATATAGTATACTGCAACTAATTCAAACAACAATTACTTTAAACCACAAAGAAATCCAAAACAACTTTGAAAATATAAATCAATCTATTTCCAAGTTAACTCTACAACAAAAAAATTCATAGAAAACAGCAATAGAGAAGGAGCAGATAAAACAGATAAATGGATATAGAATTGAGAATAGACATTTAAGATGGAACTTAACAAAACAAGGAAACATGATTTAATCTTAGTGGGAAAAAATTCACAATTGAAAAAAACAACTTATCCCTTAAGACTACAAAATAAATCTGAGGATAAGAAAACAGATCAGATAAAATGGACGGTAGAGATGTCAAGAACACTGGAGAGAAAATAAATGATAAGAGAAGCGGAGAGAAAGAAAAAGAAAAAGATTTTCAACAAACATGGAAAGGCAGACACTTCTCCTGATTTACTTTTTTTTATCTACAGCAACATTTACAAACATACGGAAAAACTTTTTGATTCAGCAAAATACATTGATTAAGAAAGACACTGGGCAAAAGAAAAAGACTAAAATGGAAACTAAGAAAATAGATGATGGGACTTACCAGAGAGAATACTTAAAAAAGAAACATTTGTTTGAATATGGTTAAAGAAATAGAAAAGTTTTGGAATATATATGTCACTCTAAGAGGGATCAATTCTCTAAATATAATATAGTATGCTTTTTTCCCTTTTTTGTTCTCTTTCTTGATATAACTAATATAAAAAAGTTGAAATGACTTAGATAAAGGAAATGTAGATATTTAAATGTGATTGAATTTAAG